GAAGGCATTAAAGTTAATATTGCAGGTGCAAACTGGATCCAGACTGCTTCTGTATATGCCATAGAGGTAGGATTAGTCTCATTTTTACTGTGTGAAAGTTAGGCAATGAATCTGAAATGGCCAGATAGGCTCATTAGCTGTACCAATAGGCAGAAGAAGAAAAGCACTTCATGGTGTGATTCATCCAAAACTAAGTCAGGCATCTGAGAGAAGGGAGGCCTGTCTCCCTCAGAGCATGTCTAGCTCCATGTTTGAGAGAGACTTGCGAGTGAGTCTCTTGTAAGATGGGTCCCACCACTGGAAATGTCATGTTACTTTTGCTACGAGATCTCTGCCTTATTTGGTGCTTACTAAAGCTTGATCTTCAATATCCTCTCTATTTATCCTTTTCCTGTCATGTGTAGGCTTCTCCATCACTTTACTGTGTGCTGCTCAATTTAGTGTAGAACACTGAATTTATTAATTTTCAGCGGGATTCCCTCATGTTCTCAAGGACAGTATTTTTTAGCTCTACAAACACTGATTAAAATCTTCAAAGATGTGTCAAAAAAAAAGGAAGGCATTATTATCACCATTTCTTCTTACAAAGGAGGAATGAAAACACCTAGATTAGAGTCAGTGAAAGATTCCTGCACTTCAAGTGTGCACAGATTGATTTTTTAGTGTTTACAGCACTGTACATCATTCTGGAAGTGTGAGACACAACCTGTTGTGACCAAGATTGCAACTGTGAGAGCCTTCTGACTTCTGCAAACTACCCTTTCCCAGATATTGTGCTTGCCACTGTGAAAAACTATAACCTTTTACTCCATTTAACACTGTTAGTAGCAGCCTTTTTCTGGGACAATACCAATCTGGAATAATGCCAATTCAATCTACGTGGCTTGCCCACACTTTGTAAGTTGTCATTCAACCAATTTCACTGTAAGAGCATTGTTTCTGGCACTGCAGATCTATTTCAGTTCAGATTCTGCAATAATGGTGCTGCAAGAAAAGCTGCTGAGCCTCAGCTGACAGCAGCCTCCTCCATTGTACAGTAATAACAAATTCCCACAGCACACACAGGCTATTCTTTGCCCCAAGTAAGGCAGGGAGTCTTGAGGGGAAACTACAGGAGTTTGTAATCAGGTCATTAAAAGAGTTTATGATCATATTCAGGAGGATGGAGTACGGTTTCACAAGCAATTTGAATTTACTTTTTCAGTCTTGATTTTGCAAATGTAGGCTTCTTCTAACAATTTGAAAACATTGCCATACACTATTTTGAACAAGTCAGCAACGGGAGAGGAGGGGTGCCCCTGAGTGAAAGCCCTGGCTGGGTCATCAGCAGTGGTGGGTGCTTTATTAGGCACGCTTCCAGCAGCTGGGCTCACACTCTAGGTGATGGCAATACTGTCGTCTCCTTGGCACTAGAGGGAGATGGATACACATGCCACATTGATGGATTTTGCAGCTGGAGAAACAGTGCTTCTGTTTTCAATCACAGAAACTGAATAAAGTGCTGACAAACCCTTCTTCCTTGCTTCTCTCTCCCTGTCTCTCCCTCTTTCTCTCTTTTTTCTTTTTTTTTTTTTTTTCTGGAGTAGGGATTTTTCTGTGTTCATCCTCTTACCTTCTGTTCATTTTTGTCTCTGCTTCTTCATTCCAATGCATTGTTTCAATTGACCTCTAAAGGCTGTCTGGTGCTGTGCCTTTCCACTTTCCAGGGAGAGCTCCTGTTTTTGCTCCTAACCTCTGCTCACAATCCCTTACCTCTCCTGTTCCTGCCAATTACTTGTACCTGCACAGCCTCCAACTTCATGTGATGCTTAAATACAGTAAATACAGGTTCTTACTCTGTCCTCAGCATGACAAGTGGTATCTCAGCTCGTTTGAACAGGATACCAAGATAAGATCTGTTGATCTTCTGAAGAATCTTGTATTCAAGCACAGTGAGGTGAGATCCATGAGTATCAGATCTTGTGGGAGTTCCATTTGAAGCCTAGTATTTGCTCTCACAGTAGAAGGTGAAGTCATCTTGAAAATCCAAGATGCTGACCACAATCTTCCCTGTGGAGCACTAGGGACTCTTTTCAGACATGGTTACATAGACTCACACCAGGCTAAAAGAATCATCTGCAAGTACAGTGTTGTCTTCAAATTGAGCCAAGCCATGGAACTTGTTGGCATTGTGCCCTCCGATTCAAGGAGAGCTGAGTTGAAGCTGTTGTATATGTAGATAAAGTCAAAGACCTTGAACAGATTTTTTTATAATAAAGCTGTGAGCAGAGACTGTCTGGTGTGTTTTCATTAGCCTGAAATTCAGGCTACAGAACCATGAACCATGTCCTGGGTTCAGGTTGTTGTGTGTCATTAAGCAGGCCTTTGACCTACGAAGGTAAGCTGTAGTCTACATAGAAATGAGCTCTATTAATAATATTAATAAGTTGCTTCTGTCCCTCTCTTCCCCCTTTTTTTTTTTTTTGTTTGTTTGGCTTTTTTTGCTCTTTTCTCTATGCCCCCATGACTTTTTTCATTATGCATATTTTCTGTACATTTTACCTCTTCCTAAAATTCCTCACTCTTCCCACTGAGCTGAGGATATTCCTTCCCCTCTCTACCCTCTTCAAACCAGCAGTGGGAGCACTGAGATGAGAGCATAGCCCTTCTTCCCTTTTCCATTTCAGAAGCTGCTGCATGTGCAAAGCCAGCTGAGCCCTGCTCCTTCCACCCCGGCCTGTGCTGCACTGTCTGGGTGCATGTGGAGCATCTGTAGTAGAGGTAGAAGCTTATAGGACTTGGGAAGTGTTTGAACTCATATGTCTGCTACCAAATGATATTGTAGATACCAAATGTACAAATGCCAGTTTTGGATGTGTTCTGCTTGCTTAAATCTTAAGAAGAACAGACAAAAAGCAAATGTCTGGAACTAATGTTTTCATTCAGCATCACAAACAACTCACCATGGAATATCCTGTCACTCTGCACTTTAGCAGGTCTGTGGCAGTACTATTGGACCATTTTAACAAAAGAAAAGCTACTGAAAATTTCCACTCTGAGGGCTTTCCACGGAAAATATCAGTCCAAAAATCCACAGTTCTGAAAGGTTCAGTTAGCTTAGGAACATCGGAAAGGGAGTTGTGTTTACTGTAGAGGTTGTTAGTTCTGTGATCACTACTACCCAGGGGCTTAGTTAGTTTGCCTTGTTTGGGGTTTTCTTCTTCCCCTTCATTTTTTGCAATTTATTTTCAATTTACTCCTTGATTAACAAAGTGGGAGAAAAATGTGTGTTCTTTTGTCAAAAATGATAGGTACTAAACTCTTATTATTATTTAAACTTCTGTTTTCCTTAATTATTTGACTTGTAGAAGTCCTTACAACATCCATCTCTGTTGATGTGCATTTTTACATATATACATAGGGGAAAAAGAAAAGTTCTCAAAGGAAAGTTCTCTTTCCTTTGACTTTAGCTTGACATTCTAAGGAATTCTAAGCTATCATACTCTTTGTTGTGCTGTCTGTCTACCTGCCTCTCAGCCCCCATTTGGTGAATTTGAGCCCTCTTGCCAAGCAAAACTAGGCTGGATCCACTAGTGAAAAAACACAGAAATTATTCCCTTCAGTTTCATGCAAACCATTGTGAAAGGAGTGGGACAGAAAATGTATACAAATAGCTTCCCCTGCTGCAGCTAAAGTATAAGCTCAATGTTTTTTTCATCCTGACAGATGGGCAGTCAGCGCACATATCATTTGGCACCCACCCCAATACATGCTGCCTCTTCTCCAGCCAGATGGGTAGGAGACAGAGACTTTTTGGGGCATGCCATAGTGCATTTGGAGGTGGAAACATGGAACTCTTGCAGTGAGAGAGGTAGGAACAGATTGTACACATGTAGGAAACCGGATTTTAGCATTCCTGCTATCCGACGAATATATGACATTATTTGGTGTCACACTACGACATTAAATAACTTACGCATTCACTCAAGATGCAAAAGAAGGAAAAGAGGAAGTTTTATTTCTGACCTCACAATATATAGAATTCCAAAAGTGGCATTGGATTGGAGGGTGAAATTGCCACCTCTGGACAAACCAACAGTCCATCAATTCTCTCCTCCCACAAAGAAGACTGCAAAAAAATCATTATTTACATGACAGTATGTGAGACACTCCAATAGAAATATGTAAACTCAGAAGGCATAGAAAACTTTTAAAAGAACTTTTAAACTTTTAAAATAACAGGGTGACAATTTGGAAGGAAATGAGGGTAATTATAAAAGGGTGCAGGCAGTGCTAAAGGGAAAATGTCTTAAATGTGTAGGAAATTGGGCTACATTAGTTCTGTTGCTTATGGCACGACACTATAACTTTCAACTTTTGTTATTCCTATTCTGGAAACAACCCTGAACAATGGCTTTTGTCCAGTCAACAAATTTTTGGTTCATGTTGTTTAGTTCCTTAGTTAGGGAAGGACTTTGTAAATGATGGGAGAGGGATTTAATGTCCACAGTTGGCTGCAAGACTTCGAAAAGAACCTATAAGAAAGCAGTTAGTAAGGGGGAGCTCCATCGTGCAATTACAGCCAAGGACTAGAGGCCTCAGTGGAACAGAAAAAGGATTGGGGTCAGGGACTGACAAGCAAAAGGAAGGATTTATAGTGATTTTACCATTGACCAGCCTTTTATGTATCTATCTTAAACTGAATAAAATTTACCATTGCCCCTGTTCCTTAAAGCCAAAAGCATAAACAGCTGGAAAAATGCTCACTAGAAATAATACAGTTGAGCCTAGCACAACTGGAAAGTATGCTGATGCTCCTAGACAATCTTTAAACTTAGACTAAGGGGTTTTTAATACACACAGTATCATGAAATGCTTCATTTTCTCTGCTTTTAATTCTAAAATGTTATAAAATTACTTCATCTTTGAAGCATATATGGCTTACAAATATGCATCAATGATTTGCTTGAAATGTGTTTATATAGCTCATAATATTTTCTCATCTCTTCAAAATGAAATATTTATTGCTCAGATGTCATTTGTTTTCAAAGCCAGTCTGGCTTCATAGATATGGTTTCTAGAAGTAGTACATTTAGGGTGGCCTCTTCTAGGAAGGGCCTGAAGAAGAGCTCTTCAATAGCTTCTGCATCAATGTCTCGAAGAGATGTGATCAGCTGAAGAATCGAAGTAAACCTGCTGAGGCTTCCATGGAACATTATTGAGATAAACTCCATCAGGGCTTTCTGAGCTTCCTGCTGAAGTGATTGTACATAAGGGAGACATTTCAGGACATGACATTCTGTCAAAACAAAAAGTACAATAACAAATCCTGAGTAAACATTTCTGTTCTGTGCCTTTTGTAATGATGGGTATCTGGATTTCTGGCTTATAGCAATACTTTCTCTATAGAAAAAAAATAAATAAACACTTCCTAAACATACTTTTTTGGAAAAAGAAGTTATGTGTAGCTCAATAATTGGGATGAGCATTGGGCAGCATTGTAATCACACTGGAATCTAGCCCATTACATTAAAATCCAGCCTTGAAATGGTAACAGCAGGTAATTTTGACTCAGTACAGATGGAAAAGAAGTTTTGTAATGTTGTTTACCCACCAAATGATGCTGAGATGGTAGTCTGGGCAGGTGGAAATATTCCAGCTCTAATCTATCCTACCTAGGTAACACCAGGAGATGGAGATGATGGTTTGGAGCAGCGAGCAGGCTCCCAGCCTGAAGATGTAGGTTTCCAGTATACCCAGCCCCATCTCCACCCTACTTTTGCTTCTGCTTACTAGACGAAGCTGGGGCACTGTGGTTCACCATACTGTCTAGGTATTTTCATTTACAGTCTAAAATGAGCAAGAGGAGTGCCTCAGCAAGAGGAGTGTCTGAAGAAGGAGAGGCCTTTGCCCTGTGGAGTCATTGTCTTGAGCCTCAATCACATACCTCTCATGGCATGTGACCTGCTGGCTCACTGAGGGTGTTTGTGGGTGACAGAACTCAGTGCTAAGGACGCCCTGTGTTCATCCTCTGCCTCTGGAGGGATTGGCTTGTCATGTAGCTCTCAGCAACCTGTTGCTCCTGTCCTCACTCTCTAAGGATATCTTTTATCTCCTAGAATTGTTGCAGTCTGGACAGAGGGTAGAACACACTATCTGGCAACTTTTACAGTGACTGACCCCATACCTCCCTGGAACAGAATCTGCATAGCTCACACCAGGTGTGTTTCACAGAGGATCGTTCATTTCCATGTGGGAAGTTCAGCATTCTTGACTAGTGCCCTGTACCAAGGCAAAACCAATCTGGTTTGGTTTCCTTCAGTCTGTCACTGGCTGACTGTTGTCAGCCTTCAGCAACTGTCTTCTTCCTAGACATCACTGCCAGAGGAGAAGAAGCCTCAGCCAAACCTGCAACCAGGCTAGCCAGAAATTAAGTGTTTGCAAAAGTCATCTCCCCCAGGATTACCAGCAGCTGCAAGCTGTGAGGATGATTCCAAATGTTAGATTTTTCATGGAAAGGAAATTGTCAGGATTTTGTGGATTCAGGATGAAGTTGCAATAGTTTCTATCTATTCAAATATGCCTAATTTCCCCATTTGGTCTTCTTTTCTATGTAACCAAACACTGGTTTTAATTTACATATTATGAGACACTTCTTGTTCTGAGATATGTTGCAATAATATTCAGTCAAACACATGTTTCCAGCTAAACTGTAAACCTCTTAAGAGTATCCTTTTTTTTTAACAGAACCCCTGTCACAGCCTTGATGGAATTTTTGAATATATATGTGTACATAAATATGCATATGTATGGCACTGATATAATAACCACACTGGTTTTAGCTATTCCCATCTCTTCACTGTACAGTCCCAATTGCTCTTCAGACAATTGTCAAAACCACAAAATTGTTTTCACCTTACTCTGTGCTGTTTCTGTGTGGCAGAACAGCTCCTTCCTTTGACTTATTGCCTGGGTCCAAGTAGAGAAGGCCTTGCAGTTGGACCCCTCACCCACAGATACAGAGACAGCTCCAAAGCTACCCAGCCAAAGCTCCCCTGGGAAGAGTGGTGATGCCAATATGTTCTGAAGAGTCTGGATTCTGTTGATGCAAGGTGCTGGTTTCCCCTCAGGGGCTGGTGCACAATTTCTTCTTTGCAGGTTCTTGCTGGCCCAGATGTGGTCAATCAGTAACCCAGCCAGAGCCTCCCACACAGAGGTGCTGCACAGTTATTTCCAGCTCTGGGGCCCCCCGCATAAGAAGGACATGGACCTGCTGGAATTACTCCAGAGGAGGACCCCGAATATGATCAGAGAGCTGGAGCACCTCTCCTATGAATGTAGGCTGACAGAGCTTAGGTTGTTCAGCCTGGAGAAGAAAAGGCTTTGGAAAGACTTAGAGCAGCCTTCCAGTACCTAAAGGGCTTTACAAGAAAGCTGGATGTGGACTTTTTACAGGGGCCTGTAATGATAGGAGAAGGGGGAATGGCCTTGAACTGCAAGAAGGCAGGTAGGCATAGGTCAGATGTGTGTGCAGAAATCCTTTACTGTGAAAGTGGTGAGGTGTTGGAACAGCTTGCTCAGAGATGTTGTGAGTGCCACATCCCCAGAAGGCCAGGCTGGATGGGGCTTGGAGGAACCTGGTATAGTGGAAGGTTTCCCTCCCAATGGCAAGGGGGCTGGACTAGATGATCTTTAGGGTCCCTTCCAACCCAAAGCATTCTATGATTCTTGTAGGAGGACCTACACTTCATCGTGCTGCCTGCCACCCTCCTGCCAAAGGGATTTTTCTAATGAGAGTAAGCACAATGTCTGTGCCACAAGAGATCACCCAGGGTACAAGCAAGACTTTGAATAATTGTCATGCTTCTTATCCAAGTGATGGCTGCTACAGCTGCATGCCTGGACGTCCTGGTGAACTCCAGCTCATGACCCAGCTCTGGACCGCTCTGGTCCTGGCCCTTCCCCATTGCTTCAGTCAGTTTTGGTGGTCCAAACAGAAGAAAAACATTAAGAGTGGTAATGAGGCACTCTGTAATCCAAAAGAGAGTTAGTCACTACTGCTGACTTCCTGAAATCCTTTTAGAACTGAGGCCTGCAAAAATAGTAGCATTTTGCCAAACATCACGCCAAAACTTGAAAAGTTTGAAAATGTGTTGCAAATATGTAGAAAACATTTTCAGAATTTTGTGGAAAGTGTTGGAAAACTATTAAAAGTAGTAGTTGCGAAACAACAGCTGTACAGATTTGTTTGCAGCAAAGGCTGGCTTGGGCTGTGTATAAGCCCTGAGTACCTGTTTCAGCCCAGACTTAGATGGTGACTCTGTTTCATACAGAGGCTTGACTGAATCTGAGCTCAACTGATGCTCTCTAGCCTGTCTTCTGCAGCTCATGGAGAAATATTCCATTCCAGGAAATAGGATCATCCCAACTAAGAGCTGAGTGTCATTCCTGAAACTATGGAATGTGTCTGCAGACAGCATCGAGGCTGCTGGCTTTCTCATACAGCACTCTGGGGAAGCAGCAGGCTTTTAGGAGGCACAAATCCAGAACATAACCCTGCTACTGCTGTTTCTCCTTAAGTGAAAATTGTATTTTACCCACAGAGACAATAAAAATGCCAGCTAGTTAAACTGGGTAAGCTGCTGCAGATGAGGTCTTTCTCCTCTTATCATCCCCCTGGATATAAATAGTGGTTTCTTTAGCCTGATTTTATTGAGAAAAAAAGCTTGCACTGAAAGAAACTCTTCTGGTTTGATGCTACAGCATAGACACTCAAGGCAATACCAAGCATCTGGATGACACTACACCTCAAGAATCAGAATTTTAATCTCATTGGAAACAAATGTAAAGTCACACAGCCTATAAGCCATGCACCATGAGAAATATAATGGAATAACTGAACCATTCAAGTATCCTTTTGGTGCAATCCCAAGTACAGCACACTGCTGACAGTGCAGCCAGCAGCAGGGATTGCTGTGGAAGGAGCTGGGCATCTGAGCCAGAGCAGGCTGGAGTCAATAAGTTTTTCCATTTACTTTAGTGGACTTAGAGCTCAGCTTTTAATGACTTGTGCATTCTATGGTGCTGACTGAGGCAACCTTCCTTCCTAAGGAGCCTGAACTTGGCATTAGAAGTGAGAGAATTCAATCAGAAGTCTTAGTTTGCTGTCCCAGGCTTTGAAAATAGCGATACTAAATTATATAAATAAAGGATATAAATACATAAAAGCTGTGTAACCTCAACATAGCATTCTTTTGCCTCACTGATGAAAATCAGATGGTTCTTTTCTCCAATGTTCTTCTTACTGAGGAAGCCTTTGTTAAAATACTTCTAAAGCTCACATCATGTGCCCATGTACCATCTCTCCCATGCTGTGACATGAGGGTGAGGCTGCTGTATTACCTTTGAACTGGAAGTCAGTTTGAAGTTACACAATTCTTTATGACTTAAAATTTGTCAGACAGAGGTTGTTTTGGCATATGGTGGGTGACATACTGCACATATCCAAGGAACCAAAATAAGCCACATCAGGAAGAAAAACTGTTAAATCGTGGAATACAGGTTTTTGAGAACATTTAACTGTATTCATAGAAATAAGTAAAACAAAACATTCTCTATACATAAATAAAAATATCAAATATCTTTCTATGTACATAATCATTCATGTAATTTCTGGGAGGACTTACCAGAATTAAAAAGAATAATCCCTTTAACATAGGCATATTCTTTTCCACTTATGTCCAGGTCCCAGAATTTCCACAACAAGTTCTTCATCTTCTGAACTTCTGTGAAAGATGCTCCTGCTGATGAACTGTCCAGTTTATTCATAGCTGTTGAAGACTGATTGAGGAGGATTTTTTTCAATAAACTGGTGCCTGGAATCTCTCTGAGGTCAAAATCCACTCCTTCTTGTGCCATGCCCAGGACAAATAGAGGGGCCCAGTTCTGTTGGATGAGGACAAACTGATCCTCCCAAGGCATGTGATAAAAAGAAGGTAGGTTTCTAATAAAAGTTGAAGTCTTCAACAGCACTTCAGAAGCTCTTCTGCATGTGGCTTCTGGTGTTCTCAGGACAACTCTTCTGTCCAAACAAGGGCAGCCTTTGCTTCTTGCACAGCAGCGGGGACTGCAATTCTGCTGGTGCCACTTGGTCTCACTTCCATGCTCTTTGTTAAGGATCTGGTACAGGATGCTTTCAGAATGGTGTGTCTCACACTGACATTTCCCAAATTTCTCAGCTGGGATCTTGGTGGCCATGGAGGCAGAGCTCCCTGTGGCAGGAAACAGCATGTCTGGAGCTACACGTCGGCAGAAGGGGAGGGCCATTCTGCCACACAGGGAGGCATTGTGTGGTTATATAGACATGGGCAGGTGTTGAAAAGTAATATGACCCTGATCCATAAGGTTACCTTGAACTTTACTTCCACCAGCGTGATTTGAACGGGGCGTGGCTGCAGGCTGCTGGTGTCCCTGGGCTGTTGTAGCCCCAGGGGAGTGGGTGGCATGGGCCAGTCCTGGGGATGGAAATCCTGTATTTCAGAACTACCTCATGTTTCTTTGAGATTTGAGAGAAACTTCAGAGAAGGTCAGCTGTTGGAGCTCATGACAGTGTTCTTTCGCATTTCACACATGATAATTTCAAACACAAAATGTGAGGGCTCAGAGTCATAGAATTGATTAGTTGGAAAAGACCTTTCAGATCATTAGATCCAGCCATTAACCAGCACTGCCAAGTCCACCACCAATCCATGTCCTCCAGTGCCACATTTACATGCTTTTAAGTGCCTCCAGGAATGGTGACTCTACCACTTCCCTGAGCAGCCTGGGCACCTGGGCATTGACGTAGAACAAGATGACACAAGATACCCAGTACAGCTTCCTCCTTCAGATTATTTCTCCCAGACAGGCTGTGTAATTAAATTTTCCTCATAGAAACTAATGAGGGGAAAATGGCATTTCATACTAGTGTACAAATGAACTTTTGTAGCAGTTCAAGAGCTGAATGACTGAATTGTCAGGACTCTTCAAACAACATCGGGGAACACTAGGTAGTAGGAATGAAAGGAGCTCAGCCTTAATAAGAAGACATTAAAACTTCAAGTTTTAGTTACTTCACACTCTACTCTCTTGCTTGCTCTTACACAGGGGAAAAAGTACTAAGATTTTTTTCACCAAGCATGATGTTTATGCATTCCTATCATCTGGGCCCTTAGCATGTCTCAGCAAAAACTGGGCATTAAAAACAACAGCTTGAAGGTCTCTATCTGCAGGATCTCCAAACCTTTGTTGTGTAAAAGCCTCTTCCTCACCATTAGATGCGTAACTGCAAATTTGTGTTTTGCTACACTAAGTTCGGGCTTTTTCCATGCTGAGCTATTTTAAGAATTACATTCTTTAACTCTTCATGATATTTATGCTGCAAAATTTTCCCCTTCTGAGGAGACGAAAAGTGGAGGAAGAGATGAGTGCTCCAAAGTTGAGAAATTAGGAGTGTAATGCTGCTGAGGTTCAGTGACTACTAACTGCTGTGGAGGTTCAAAGCACACATGGCACTGAATACCCAGGGGTATTTGCTTGTCCACCTGTCCATTCATTCAACAGCTCCCTGTATCCTATCCATTGCTGGGGTACCAAAGAGCTTTGTAAGTTAAATGTCACAGCAACAGAAAAGTCCCCAGGAAGTCCCCTCCTTCTTATTTGTGATGTAAAATTCAAGCTGGTTGAATGGAATGAACTCCAGTTACAGGGCTATTGCCATCTGAGGTTCAGCATGAATTACAGTGATTGGCTAATGGCTGCACTAGAAAGACAGACTGAGCTTGCTAAAGTCATTCTTACAAAGTGTTTGCTTGTGAAAGGAGTTCTGTCTCCTAACTGCTGGTGAGCATGGTGATGTTTCAGCAATCTAGGCAGCAGAGTTCTGAGCAACCCAGCTCCTGTGCTCCAAGAGCATCTCATGGTTAGCCATTTCACTGTCTTGATTCATGTCACTATTTCACAGCTCCTATTAACTGTGCTTATGAAAATTCTCCTTCAGGTTAAATTGGTTCTTTTCTTACTTTTTTCCTTCTGAGGTCTGATCAGTCATATGCAGAGTCCTGATGTCAGCAACATATGGTATTGGATACCATTTCTACTTGTCATCACTTATTTTCTTTGGTTGTGTATACATCTAAGAGGCAGAAGTAAATTATACTTCTTTTTATCAGAAATTCCTAGTGTACATATACATGTGCATATACATATGTGTGTGTATATATATATATTAAATTATATAATAACTTTATGACTATTTACCAAAAATAGGAGTAAAGGTCACTGCACCAGTATGACTGCCTAGGACGCATTACACATTATCAGCTTTCCTGAAAATAATGATTACTTAGAATTATGAGTCAACATTGAATTGCAGGTGAAACTGATCCTGGTCATCCTGATTCAAAATGGACTGAAATGAACTTCCTGTGTGACCCAATTTTCTCAAAGGTAGAAGACCAGCAGCCAAATTTAACTCTATAGTCATAAATTAGGCACAGATAATTTTTCTTTCTAAATCTTACCTATAGAATGGTTGCAGCCACATGCACCTAGATATAAAGCATCTAAGTCTTGATGCTGCAGTACTAATGCTTCATACTTTCAAATGTTTCAAAGGAAGCACACAATACAAAACCCAATTTTGTGATATGATAAATCCCCATGGATTATTATCTATTTTAGCTGTCTCTAGCATGCTGGCTTGAGAACAATAAGACATACATCACTGTTATTTTTTCAGTTTTGCATTTATATACTTTTCAACCTAGAAGACACTCGTGTCCACAAATACTCACTGCCACCACATTCTCTCTGAAACCATCAGAATTGCTCCTCGGGTACAAGTGTTGCCATTTGGACAACAATACAGTGTGTCCTAAGTTCACACACAAAATTAAAAGAACTCAGAGAGAGTTGGTTTAGATTAGATATACAAAAGGAATACTTTACACTGAGGCACTTGTGAGACACTGGCACAGGCTGCTCAGAAAAGCTGTGCTCCCATCACTGGGAGTGTTCAAGGCCAGGTTATAAAGGGCTTTGAGCAACCTGGTCAGCAGAAGGTGTCCCCTGCACATGGCAGAGGGGTTGGAGCTAGATATCTTTAAGGTCTCTTCCAACCCAAGCTGTTCTATGACTCTGTGATTGCTGTAGACAGCTCTTTTATAGTCTCTCCATTGCTGGGAATTAAAATAATAAATATCTCATTGGGTCCAAACATATAAGACATTAACTATTTTGACTCATAGTCCATAGCATTAAATCACGTAATGGAATACCTGGAAGTCTGAAGAGACTTGTCAGATTAGTAGAGGAGCTTACATGGCAAACTTATCCTTACCTTGGCAGTAGCCAAACATGAATCTTTCAGGAAGAGTGTATGATATATACCACTCTTCTCATTACTGTTTTGCTTTCCTTCAGTAATTTGCATCTTAGTGAAATCCTGAACCAGAATGATTTTATGCATTTAACACTTTAAATTAATTTCTAACCTGTGTTTTATGCAGTCTGCTCCTAAAGCCATAAGAACATCACATCAGCCTATGTCAAGAAGTTCTCTGTGGATGCTTGTACATGAGATAAAACTTGATCAAACATTACATTTATGGGTGCCTTCTTGCTCTTTTACTGTGGAGGAAAAAAGGGACTCAATCAATCAATCAATCAATCAATCAATCAACCAATCAATCCCTATTCATCCTGTCTATTGCTTGGCCTACTTTATAATTCTCAGTAAGATTCCAATAGTCACTTTTTGTCCAAACTAGAGATATAGCTTCTTTCTTTAGAGTGACACAAGGCCTTTGATCATCTAGTAAACTTATCTTTTCTAGCCCTACATCTTTTCTAAGATATTCTTTAGAGGGATGTGCACAAAGCATCAGAATAGGACACAGTATCCAGGATTTAAGAAAGCATGGATTTATACAGAGACAGGATGAAATTCTCTGTTTTGCCTTTCTCAGAAGTCACTTCTGAACAATGAGCTGTTGCTGCCATGGAACAGTCACAGCCCCCAGGTTTTATTCCTGAATGATGGTCATCAGTTCAGAGGCTCTTAACTTCATCAGGAGCAGCATCAGCAGTGGTTTATGTGCATCTTTTGCTATATATGCATATACACATATACTTAATCATCATTTGACACCTTGTTGATGATTTTCATAAAACCTTTCTACAATTCTTCAGTTCTGTCTTCCTCCAAATAATTTTGTACCATCAGCAGACATTGATATTCTCAAACTTTGAAGGCACTGCTTTTCAGAATAGTTCACTCAATGCTGTGAGTTGTTTAAAAGACTACAATAATTTAACTATGAGGCAGAAAATCTGACACTGTCCTTATAGTAGAGCGTCCATATATACAAGCATGTAAATGTTGGACTATACACCAACATATACATAGTGTACATATATATATGTACACCATGTATATATATAGTAACCATGTCATTACCAAGCATTGATGTGAACTCTCCTACTTTCCTAAAAGGTGAGATTACAGGCAGATGCATTTCTGGAGGAGAAGAATCCTCTGCTGTTATTTCATATGGGCTTTAACAAGGAAATGCCTTCCTGGGAAACTGACAGCAGCCTTTCTTGCATCACACCAGGTTGATATATGCACACATTCCTTGATTCAGTGACCTCTTATCACTCTGGTCTCACCTAAAAACATTTAATTGGCCTATAAACATCCATATGACTTCAGAACAGGAATCTCTAGGAGTTTTATACAATGTGTTTTCTGGGAGAGGTTGGGTGAATTCCACGTCACTGGCACTTTCGAGAGCAGCTGACCTCTCTAACAGCCTTAAGAAAAGGAAACAGTAATAAAAACACTATCTTTCTAGAAGGGTTCCATTTCTTCCATCTTTCTTGAGCAATAAAGTCATTAATTTCTCAGCTAGAGAAACTAAAAACTACCATTCAGACTGTCAGCTTTGGCTACACAGATATTGGGAAATACCAAGTCCACGTTGAAGACTGCTCAGCTTTTAAACAAGTTCTGAAACACTGTCTCTAGCTTATGAGAATGCTATGGTAAAGCAGGATTTGACATATCTGAAGCAAGTCTACATGAATAACAAATCAGTTAATTTAAACATGTTTAACCTACCTTGAAGCTCAAGTGATTGAGAGTAAGCATGTGCTTAAAATACTTTGGTTGGTTATGTCTGATAAAATCAGCATCTTTTTTATGATAGCCATTTGAATAAATTAGCAAATTAATAGAGAGGCAGCTGTCCTGCCATGAAGTGTTGTCTAACACTGAAACTAGGCTTGTTTTAAATTTCTCTCTGGTGACTGAGTTATACAGAAGGCAAGCGTCTCTGAACTTTTGCCTCAAATCTTGATGTGAAACAGGAGTTCTGAGAAGCCCCCTCCCTAAAAACCTATCTAAGGCATCCTATTTAACTCCTCCTATTCTTTGTTTCAAGAAACCTTGGAGTAAAGTGACTTTTAAAGTGACTTTTCAGCAGGTACTGCTCACTAGCTGAAGTAGAAGAGTTTATCTTCATTTTAAACCAAGGACATTTTCTTAGAGATATTATGCTGCCTGACTATATCTCAGCTGTTGCAAATGTGAATGCAAACATGTGCCATCTGGAGTTATAACCAAATATGAGACTAAAATATTA